TTTTTCAAATGTTTTGATTTCTTAATCAATCGATTTTTCGACTTCCCGGTTTTAGATTTTCTGTTTTTCAATTGTCGTTTTTTCAAATTTTTGATTTTTCAATTTTTCAAATTTGACATTTATAAAGTGTCAATTTTTCGATTTTTCAATTAATCGTTGTTTTGATTTTCCCATTTCTTGACTTTCGAGGGTTTCGACATTCCTGTTCTTCAATTCTTTAATTTTTTGATTTTTCAGGTTTTTGATTTTTCAATTTTTCGATTATTTAAGGTTTCTATTTTTCGACTTCACTTTTTGGATTTTTCTATTGCTCAATTTTTCGACTTTTTAGGTTCTCAGTTTTTGGATATTTCAGTTTTCGGATTTTTCGGGTTTTCCATTTTTCAGTTTTTCGATATTTCAGTTTTGGGATTTTTCAATATTTTGATTCTAGGACTTTTCGATTTTTGGCTTCTGGAGTTTTCGATGTGTCGATTTTTTTACTTTTTTGATTTTTCAAATTTTCGATTGCTTAACCTTTCGATTTTTCGACTTTCCGGTTTTAGATTTTCTGTTTTCAATTGTCGTTTTAAATTTTTCGATTTTTCAATGTTTTGAATTCCCGATTTAGTTTCCCATTTTTAGTTTTTCTTTCATTTTTCAGTTTTTCGATTTTTCGGTTCTGGGATTTTTCAATATTTCGATTCTTCGACATTTCGATTTTTGACTCCTGGATTTTTCAATGTGTTGATTTTTTTACTTTTCGATTTTTCAATTGTGCGATTTTTAAATTTTAGATTTTTTAATTTTTAAAATTTTAGATTTTTCGATTTCTCGATTTTTCATTTCAGTTCTTCGATATTTCAGTTTTTCAAGTTTTTGAATTTTTCAAATGTTTCGATTTCTTAATCTTTTGATTTTTCGTCTTCCCGGTTTTAGATTTTCTGTTTTTCAATTGTCATTTTGTCAAATTTTCGATTTTTTAATTTTTCAAATTTGACTTTTATAAACTCTCAATTTTTCGATTTTTCAATTAATCGATGTTTTGATTTTCCCATTTTTTGACTTTCGAGTGTTTCGACATTCCTGTTCTTCAATTCTTTAATTTTTTTAATTTTTCAATTTTTTAAGGTTTCTATTTTTCGACTTCACTTTTTGAATTTTTCTATTGCTCAATTTTTCGGCTTTGTAGGTTCTCAGTTTTTGGATATTTCAGTTTTCGGATTTTTCAGTTTTTCGATATTTCAGTTTTGGAATTTTTCAATATTTTGATTCTTCGACTTTTCGATTTTTGGCTTCTGGAGTTTTCGATGTGTCGATTTTTTTACTTTTTTGATTTTTCAAATTTTCGATTGCTTAACCTTTCGATTTTTCGACTTTCCGGTTTTAGATTTTCTGTTTTCAATTATCGTTTTAAATTTTTCGATTTTTCAATGTTTTGATTTCCCGATTTAGTTTCCCATTTTTAGTTTTTCTTTCATTTTTCAGTTTTTTGATTTTTCAGTTCTGGGATTTTTCAATATTTCGATTCTTCGACTTCGATTTTTGACTCCTGGAGTTTTCTGTGTCGATTTTTTAATTTTTCAAATTTCACTTTTATAAACTTTCGATTTTTCAATTAATCGATGTTTTGATTTTCCCATTTCTTGACCTACGAGTGTTTCGATTTTCCTGTTCTTCAATTCTTTATTTTTTTTTATTTTTCAGGTGTTTGATTTTTCAATTTTTCGGTTTTTTAAGGTTTCTATTTTTCGACTTCACTTTTTTGATTTTTCGATTTTTCAGTTTTTAGATATTTCAGTTTTAGATATTTTCAATATTTCAATTCTTCGGCTATTCTATTTTTGACTTCTGGGTTTTTCGATGTGTCTACCTTTATAATTTTTCGATTTTTCAATTTTTGGATTTTTAAATTTTAGATTTTTCAATGTTTTGATATTTTAATTTTTCAACATTTCTTAATCTTTCTATTTTTCGACTTCTTGGTTTTAAATGTTCTGTTTTTCAATTCGTAGATTTGTTAATTTTTCAGTCCCGAATTATCGAGATTTGGTTGTTCAGGTTTTCGATTTGTCAGTTTTTCAATTTTTTACTTTGGCCTTTTAAATTTTTGTTTGTCGATTTCTTTATTTTTCGATTTTTCGACTTCATCACTTTTCGATTTCTCGTTCTTTTGATCTTTCAATCTGTCAATTTTTCAATTTTTCGAATTTTTAAGTTTTTTGATTTCTCGATTTATCAAGATTTGGATTTTTCGATATTTTGATTGTCAATTTCTCAATTTATAAATTGTTCAATTTTTAACTTTTCGCTTTTTCGATTTTGACCTATTTCGGTTTTCGGCTCCACGATTTCTTGATCTTTTGATTTTTCGATTTCTCAGTTTTTCAATTTTCCAGTTTTTCGATGTTTCGATTTTTCAGTTATCCGATTTTTTAAATTTGGGAATTTCGATTTCTCGATTTTTCGTTATTCGATTTTTAAATTTTCACGTTTTTTCGATTTTCAGTTCTTCGATATTTCGATTTTTCAATGTTTCGGTTTCACGATTTTTTAAGGTTTCGTTTTTTCGATTATTTTAATTTTTAATTTTTTTTTCACTGTTAATATTATACAGTGTATCGAAAACAACCACAAAAATTGTCACTAAAAACATTTAAAAATTCATACAAAATAGAACACAGTGTTTCCAAAACATTTTCCCGAAAAAAATCCATTGGGTTATTACGATTTCAACAATATTCTTAGTTTAAGACGTTTTGCTAGTATAAAACACAAATAAAGAACTAATTCTTAGTTAAACAAAATATGTAAAATCATTTAAATATGTACCAAAAATATTCACTTAGACGTTATAAAAACCGACCAAACAACTATTTCCCGCAGAAATTATAGTCCAAACGAATCAAATCGCTTCTGAACGCTTAGAGTCGACATTTAAATTTGGCGCTCGCCTTTGGCGGTTGAGGACTCCAATTTCAATAAGGGTGGTTTTGCAAAATCAGCTTGTATGTCGCATCTATATTAATCTATGTCAGTTTGTCGCTGAATAAAAGTGTATATGCAACCAATTATACATATATTTGAATAATGCGTAAAAAACGATACATTTTTCGTATTTTATCACATACGAAGCGTCGAGAATTAGCAAAATATTTTTGAAGGTGTTTACATATTTGATTTTTGAGGTCGGTTATGGTTTGAGCAAAGATATCTTATTATATCTAGTTTGAAGTTAGGTTAATAAATTTTCTCCTTAAATATGTTGTTTTGGTTGCCTACCTTAGAAATGTGTAATTAGAAATTTCACAAGTTTAATCAAAATTAATGTTACTTTTAAGCGAAAACAACTTCAAACCAATTAAAGTTTTTATTAACATAACCTCAAACCACGACCTACTATCAAACTATTTTATTTTTATCATCCAAATGACGCGCTTTTACATGTTTTCTTAAATTCGAATTGTCTTTTGCTTTAAATGTACAAACTTTGCACTCATACCATTTAACATCTTGTCCAACCAAATGGCGTGCATTTATATGAAGTTTTAAAGAACTTCGGTACTTAGTTATAAATTCACACTTTTCACATTTGTGCCACTTAATACCTTGTGCGTCTAAATGCATGGCAATGATGTGACGTTTGAGCGTACACTTGACTTTAGTTTCACCTGGACACTGTGTACACTTGTCCCATTTAATATATCGTTCGTCCAAATGGCGCGACTTCATATGCTTTGTTAAATCACCCTTGCGTACACTTTTATATGAACACTCTTTACATTCGTACCACTTAATATTTTGTTTATCTGCATGCAAAGCAGTTACGTGTTGTTTTAAATTGTTTTTTTGTTTGGTTTTATAAGGACACTTTGCACATTCGTACCATTTAATGTCTTGTTCACGCAAGTGGTGTGCGTGTATGTGACTTTTTAAAGACGAAGAGCTTTTGGCTTTGTAGGGACAATCTTTACAATCATACCATTTAATATCTTGCTCAGGTAAGTGTAACGAATTTATGTGTACTTTTAAATATCGCTTACGTTTTGTTTTATATGGACATTCTTTGCATTGGTACCACTTAATTTCCTCATCTGAGTGTTTCTCAATTTCGTGTGTCTTTTCATGTCTTCTGGTTTTGTGTCTATGTAAACTATAATGATATTTAGTTTTAAATTGACATTCATCACAGTTGTACCAGTTGGATATATTCTTTATATGGTTTTCCTGATTTATTAAACACTCGTTAAACGTATGTTGGAGCCACTTTAAAGAAAAGTGTGTTTCGAAGCTGCATTTTTCACATGTATATTTTGTAGTGGTGAAATTCTCACTCAGTACATTTTTTCTTTGCAAGCTGTGACATTCATTGATGTGTTCTTTCATAAGAATTGTTAGGTCTGTGTAGAATTCGCAGTCGCTGCAGTAGTAATTTTCAATTTGGGTAGTTTCACACTTAAATTCGGCTGAGGATGAATGATGACGTCTAAGGTGGTTCACAAAGAAAAAATATGATGTTGTAATGTAGGTACATAGTTTACAATGGTGGACATTTTTGAGAGATGTTTGCGAATGGACCAACTTTTCTGAGTATTCCAAAATCGACATTTTATTTGCCTGAAATTATTTACTATACGTAAATATAAGCATAAAAATAAATACCGAAAATGTCTTACCTTGGGGGCGAATGTTCACATTTAAAGTTAAAAAAGACATGAAGGGGGCAATAAAAACAAATTTTTTCAATAACGTTCATAACCTCAAAATACTAAACATAAAAGCACAGTAAAAGCGTGGGTAGGCAACCAGTAATATCACTTATTAAATAATAAAGAAATAAATACAACCAAATATACATTAAATCATTTTTTCTAAAGCATTTTTTATCAGGATTTTCATTCTAGAGATTTTTTTTCTTTCAAGAATTTTAATACTTAAAGAAACCCCCAAAATCTGTTCTCTCTTCAAACCAAAATTTTTATTAATTTTCCACCCCCCACCAACAGTGCGTGTGCGCACAATCCTGTAATCTAATACCTAATCAATTCCCTTGCCCAAACCCTCCCTATTTATAACACATCTTTGGAGAAAATGTTCCAAATGTAAATAATTGTCGTCAAAAAAGAACCCTATCTATAATTCACAGTTAATCATGTGAATTAAATTTTGAGGTTACGTTGTCACAGCCGGCTTGAACTATTTTTATTGTGTATTTTTGACAGTTGTTGCTTTTTATCCACTTAATAGGTGAGAAAATACAAATAAATCACCATGTTTAAATTATAACAAAGCATTAATCGTTGTAGACAAACAAAAATGTCGCTTTTAGTATTCCCGGAGAAGCTTACTTCAGTGAAACCCTCAAAGAACGTCCACAAGTGTCAAATTTGCCCGTACTTCACAACGCTGGTTTTCCGCATGGCAAACCACGTCAGAAGTCACCACACAGCATTAATTCCTTTTAACTGCGAAAATACCGACGTTGAAATTTATTCCTGCTCGGACTGTGATTACCAGACAGATCTAACACTGGTTTTTATACAACACCTGGAAAAGTGTCACAGTCTTAACAAAGCAGTCTGTGAAAACTTGCTAAATGAAGAGTACGCAGTTAAAAGCTACGTTTGCGAAAAGTGCGACTTTGAAACCCATTTTCTGATTAAATGGTTCCAACATAGCGCAGACTGTTTGGAAATTAAAGAAAACCCCGACTTACTGAATTCCGCTAAAGACTACTTCACACGCTACAATTGCGGCCAATGTGGATACAAATGCCGGACTAAACACAACTTGAGGACACACAAAGTGTTAAAACACGTAAACGACGATAAAGTGTTTTGGTACAACTGTGAGCAGTGTTCATACAAAGCTAAACTTAAAGCAAATTTAAAAAGGCACGTAAGTTCGCGCCATTCAAAAGCCGACGACATTAAATGGTTCAAATGCAAAAAATGTATGTATAAAGCTAAAGATCAGTCTACTTTACAAAAACACACAATTGCGCGCCATTTAGACGAACGCGAAATTAAATGGTACAAATGCACCCAATGCCCATATAAAGCTAAACATAAAGCAAACTTAGCCAGACACGCGATTGTACGTCACGCACACGAGAACGATATTAAGTGGTATGAATGTAAAAAGTGCCCCCATAAAGCTAAAGATAAAGCATCTTTGAAAAAACACATAATCGCACGCCATTTGGACGAACAAGACATTAAATGGTTCAAATGTGAAAGTTGTACGTATAAAGCTAAGAACAGATCGTCGTTGCAAAAACACTTAACTTCTCGACACTTGAACGAAGAGGATATTAAATGGCACGAATGTGACAGTTGTCCGTATAAAGCTAAACTGAAAGAAGCGTTAAGGCAGCACATAATAGCTCACCATTTGGACGAAAAAGATGTTAAATGGTACGAGTGTAAGGAGTGTCCATATAAAAGCAAAAAATCCTCGCGATTAAAAAGTCACATAATCGTGCACCATTTAGACGAGAAAGATATTAAATGGTTTGAGTGCAAAAGTTGTCCGTATAAAGCTAAAGATAAGTCGAGTTTGAAAAACCACATCAACGCGCACCACTTGGCCGAGAACGATATCAAATGGTACGAGTGTGACAAGTGCCCATTTAAAGCTAAGAATAGTTCGAATTTAAGAAAACACATAAATGTACGCCACTTGCACGAGTGTAAAAAGTGTCACTATCAAGCTGACACTAAAGCGCTTTTAATAAATCACATAAACGAGGTTCATTTTGGTGAACAGGTTATTAAATGGTACGCATGCAAAGATTGCCCATATAAAGCTAAGTATAAAACGGCGCTGAATAACCACATTGCCGTGCGGCATTTAAGCGAAGACGAAATTAAATGGTACGAATGCACAATGTGTCCGTATAAAGCTAAACAAAACGCCCATTTGAAAATCCACATCAATGCTAGTCATTTGGATGAGAAAGATATTAAATGGTATGAGTGCACGCAGTGTTCATATAAAGCTAAACAGAATTCACATTTGAAAAGTCATATTAAAGTACACCATTTGGACGAGAAAGATATTAATTGGTATAGGTGTGATAAGTGTTCGTATAAAGCTAAGCAAAGCTCGCATTTGAAAAGTCACTTTAAGACGCACCATTTGGATGAAAAGGATATTGAATGGCATGAGTGTGCACAGTGTCCATACAAAGCTAAACAAAAAGTGTCTTTGAGGAATCACATCAATTGCCACCATGTGAAGGAGGAGGATATTAAGTGGTATAGGTGTGAAAAGTGTACATATAAAAGTAAATTTCAGTCGAATTTAAAAACTCATATTAATAAGTGTCATGTGAACGAGCAGGAATATAGTAATTAGTGAAGGAAGTGTCTAGTACGTTTTTAGAATTTGAATGTTGTTATATTTATAATCAGACCTGATTTTGTACAAATCACAATAAAATGTCTTAATGCAAGCTTTAGTTTGTTTTTAGTAACACTGTATTCGTCAGATTTTTGACTAAATTAACAATAAAATACAAAACATCTTCAAAAATATTTTGCTACTTTTTTCTTTCAACAACAGGATAATTAAACATGTTTTCAGTTTCTCGTTGGGAAAAGAAGACTTCGTATATTAAGAAAAAGTGGACAAAATATAAGCCCCGCCCACCCACCCTTTCTCAATTCTGATGAATGTTTTATTCATTGTGAGCTGAGGGGCGGAGTTTAGTTGCAAAATCCTCATTTCTCTACAAGAAGTTATCATAAGAAACTCATCGCGATTAAGATTTTTTTTTTTATATACGTAGTTTTCTTTCAACATTTTTTTGGCGCAAAGAACAAGAGATATTATAATAAAAAACATAAAGTCAATCTATTATTCAATAATTTTGGACTGTACTCCTAATGTAAGTCACCTAGAATAACTGTACTTTCTCGTTTTTTTCGAAAAACTGAAAAAATGAAAAACTGAAAAATCTAAAACTTGAAAAATAAAGTCGAAAACTCGTGAAATTTCAATTCGAAAAACTGCAAAATCTAAAAATTTAAACGTTCAAAAGTTGGAAAATCGGAAAACTGGAAAATTTAAAAATGAAAACTAAGAAATATCGTAAAATTAAAGAAAAAACCGAAAAATTGAAAGATTGCAAATTGAAAAACTGACGAAACGAAAAATTGGAAAAAAGTGAAATTAAAAAACAAACAATTATAAAATTGGAACATTGAAAAATTGTAAAAAGAAAGAAAATAAAAAATTGAACCGAAAAATTTAATGGATTTTGTCTCCTCAGTTTTTTCCCAAAAATTAAAAAAATGCAATTTTGATTTTTTTCCAAAAATCTGGATATCTAGTAAAAACTTTCCTCGGTTTCTTAAAAATTTAAATAAGATTTACTGATGTAAATTTTGCAGATGACGTCATCTTATTTTTGGTAAGCGTTTTACCATCTACACGATATTTCTAATACACAAATAAAATTCGACAAAAATCAGTTAAGTAGTTTCGGAAATTATTTGCCTAATAAAAATCCGAACAGACGGCGGACAGACAGACAGACGGAAAGAGGAGTCGTAAGTTTCTGACCCACACTTTTTAAAAATGTGGTAATTCTAAAAAACTGGAAAATTTTGGAAATTGTATGTAACAAGAAAGTGAATTAAAGCTTAAAAATTGGTTAAAAAATTTTTGGAAATTACAAAAATTCTGTATAAGATTCAGAGTCAAATTTTTGAAATTCTACAATATTTCGAAATGACGGGATGAACGAACAATTTTCGAAAAGCCCAAAAAAATTTTTTAACTAAAGGTTTCTTTCAAGTTTAGATCATATCAGATTTGTAAAAAAATTAAGAATAAAAAATTTGACAGGGAAGGAGGGAATAAAAAAATCAGACTTCATTTTCTAGATTTGACCAAGAAAGAAAAATTTTGATAAAATTCGCCATTCTGACATTTCACAAATTGTCAAAAAATTCTGAATTTTTATAAAAAAAAATGTCGGATTTGTTTAGAAAAATCGCCAGTCGAGCACGATGAAGTCTAACAAAATACTAGAACGAAACTGGAAACCGACATTTTCATATTCCACTAGCTGTGAGCACAATATATTTAATCCCAAAAAAAACCCGAACTCTTTCGTAACATCTAGAAATTAAAATTGCATTTAATTCTTGTCAAGATGTCAACGTTTTTATAAAATTTTCAAAATTTTCAGAAAAACGAATAAAATTTGTTGAAAGTATCTTTACAAAATATTTCAAAAAACTTCATTAATTGGCATTCTTTCACGTTTGTTATTTTACAAAGTCTGAAAAGAATGAAATTTTTTTAACTTTCTAACGTACGCTTTTTAAAACGAGGTAATTTTCAAAAACTGGAAATTTTCGGAAATTATTCATGAATGTAACAAAAAAACATATTAAAACTATTCAAAAATTTGGTTCAAAAGTTTTTGGAAATTACAAAAATTCTGTACAATATTCCTAATAATCTAACTTCAAAAATTCATGAAGATTAGAATGTTCAAGATTTTTATCTTGTAATTTTATCAGTTACAAAAATTGGTTGAAAGCTCTTTCGACAGAACTTCTAAAATGCTACATTTTTGCAATGAAATATGATTATTAAAGAATCTCGGGGGTCTCCAATGTCTTTTTTAAGACATTTATGAAGGAATCTCGGAGTTCACAAGTGCTTATTTTAAATGATTTTGACACAATTTCCTAGGCCACAAATGTCTATTTTAAACGATTGTCATAATCTCAAGGTCACGTATGTCAATTTTAAAATAATTATGGCACAATCTCGAGGGCTACGAATGTCTATTTTAAATTATTATTAGTGTCTTTTTTAAGACAATTATGAAATAATCTCGGGGGTCACGAGTGTCTATTTTAAATGATTTTGACACGATGTGGAAGGTCACGTGTGTCAACTTTGAATGAATATGACACAATTTCCGAAGCCACAAGTGTCCATGTTAAATGATTGTCTCATCCTTAAAATAATTATTACACAATCTCGAATGTCTATTTTAAATTATTATGACACAATTTCGGGGACCCCAGTGCTTTAAGTATCGTATAAGTATTTTACAATTAAGCTCCGCCCCTCGACTTACAACGAATAAAAAAAATCATCGGAATTGAGATAGGGCGGGTGGGCGGGGCTTATATTTTATCTTTTTTTTTTTCTTAATATACAAGTCTACACATATTAAAACAAAAAGGCAAAATGTAAGCCCCGCCCACCCGCCCTATCTCAATTGTAATGATTTTTTTATTCGCCGTGAACAAAGGGGGCGGAGCTTAACTGCAAAATACTTATATTACAAGAACTTAAAAACATGTTTTTGAGTCTCGTGTTGTTTAAAAACACTATGTATACCCGGTATACTAGGAATAACCTTGGTAAACAGACATAACGGGTGTTCAGTTGAAAAAGTCATCAAGTTGGCGTTGCTTTTTTGATAAAAGAGGACATACGATTGGTGGACAAAAAAAATGGGACGCAATTCGTAACTAGACAATCTAATAAATTTAAAACGTTTAATAAGTTGGGTTCTTGTCAAAAAAATACCAGTTGTGACATATGGTTGGTAGGCCAACAAAAGTCTTTGAAAAACTTTGAATTATTGGTAGTTGTAACGTTAATTCATCATTTTCCTACTATTAGCTACAACTAGGTAAAAACAAACTGCTGAACAGATTATTTGGACTGACCTAATGTCGTTTTTAAATCAATGCAGCCAACCACACAACGTATCTTACGCCCTACCACAGCTCAAAAAATGTGTGGCATTCTAGACACGATTAGCTTCACCTTATGTTATGTAGAAATTTGAATTTCCAAGCAACTGTATTGTGTGTTGCATACATAACCAAGTTTCACGTTTGAGGTTATGTTGTAATATTTACAAAAAAATAATTCTAAACACAACTTTGGACTAGTTTTTACAAAATTTATTGCTAAAAAGGCGCAAACGTGTTTAATTGTTTGAATTTTACAAAACTGTAATATGAGACAAGTTGAATCGAGCAGAATTATTTAAAAAAATTTTGGGTTTGACAACACTTCGAACGACTTTAAATTAATGTAGTAGGTAAGGACAACTTAAGACATTAGTATTTTATAATAATAACACAACAATTTAGGTAGCCTGGTAGCATGGTTAATCACATCAGACGTCACTCCTTATCATCCCAGCATTTCAACTGTAAAAACTCCAACATCGAGACCTACTACTGCAAAGACTGCAATTTTCAAACAGAACTGACGCTTATTTTCAAACAACACCTTCAACAACACCAACGAATATTAAATATCCACACTATCCAACAATATAGTTGTGAAAAGTGCTCCTTTGAAACACACTTTTCACTGAAATGGTTGCAACATGTTTTACGATGTTTAAAAAACGAAAAAAACAAAACTTCTGCAATGAACGCCTTGAACTGGTTTCAGCATGATGAGCGTCAGTGTAAATATAACTACAGAAAATTTTTCACACTGCACACTATTTCAGAGCACGTTAAATGGTACAGCTGCAGAAAGTGTCCATATAAAGCTAAAAGAGCCGATCATATAAAACGACATGTAATAGCTTGCCATATGGACGAACGAGACATTAAATGGTACACTTGTAAAAAGTGTATCTTTAAAACTAAGCAAAAAGAATATTTAAAAATCCACATAAATTGTCAACATTTGGACGAACAAGACGTCAAGTGGTATAAATGTGAAAAGTGCTCGCACAAAACTAAGTACAAATCGCATTTAAAAATCCACATAAATGTGCACCATTTGGACGAACAAGACACTAAATGGTACTATTGTAAAGATTGTCCATTTAAAGCTAAGGTTAGTAGCAATTTGAAGCGGCATATAATCGCACGACATTTAGATGAGCAGGATATTAAATGGTACGTGTGTGAAAAATGTCCATACAGGACGAAAACTCACGGGCATTTGAAACGTCACGTAAATGCGCACCATTTGGATGAAAAAGATATTAAATGGTACGAATGTGAACAGTGTCCGTATAAAGCTAAGCAGAAGATACAAGTGAAAACTCACGTGAGTTTGCACCATGTGGATGCGAAGGATATTAAGTGGTATGAATGTAAAAAGTGTTCATTTAAAACTAAATATAGGTCGGAGTTAAATAAACACACGAAGAAACGGCACCAATGATGAGTGTGATTGTAAATTGTAGAAATGTTGCAAGTTTCAAATACACCAAGGATAGGTAGTACAAGTTGAAAACAATATTTATACAAATTCAAGGACTTTTTTGTTAATAAACACGTTTCAGGATGAGTTTATATGAATGTTTTTTGGTACCCTTTTTCAGAACATTATAAACTACTACTAAGTCGATATTCGATTTTTAGACGAATATTAATTTTTATCAGTTGAAAATAAAAATTATACTGCCAGTAACGAATGGTACAATTTTCGATTTTTAGATTTTGGGGTTTCTAATTTAAATTT